TGCAGACCATTGAAAAGGATTTTTAGTTGTATCTAATACCAGAAGTTCAGGAAGTGTTGTAGTTGACACAGGATCACTACTACCGCCAAAAACAATTATCCTTCCATCCTTTGCTATATAATAAATATATATATATAATTTTAGTATGATATTTTTATAAAAGATTCAAAAAAAAATTATATAAATTAAATAATTAATTACAAAGTACAGCTGAATGACCAGTTCGAGATTGGATGTTTGGTGGACCAGTCGCTGTCTAAGTTTTTGTCCAGGTATAAGAAAAAATAAATTATAAATAAAAATTTTATAAACAATATATTTTAATTGATTAAATATTTACCATACTTGACCAAATTGAATTATTCGTATCAAAAATTTTTATCTATAAATAAACATAATTCAACTGTAAATACATGCATATATTATTTTACTTTAATCAATATTTTCTATACTAATCTATAAAATAAATACATACTATATTCATGTTAACCAGAGTTTGATAATTTCCCTCTCTTCCACCAATAATTACAATTCTACCATCAGGTAATAAAGTTGATGTATGATCATAAGTTGCTAATGGTGAATTAGTTGCAGTGGCTAAACTCCAATTCAGGTCTATTGTATTCAAAATATACATATCATTAAAGCATTGAAAGGTGGAAGATCCAGTAGGTTTACCTGTTGATCCACCAAAAATATACATTTTTCCTTTATCATCTATAACAGCACTACTTTCTCTACGATTAATGGGAGTAATGCCAGTTGTTTTTGGAGCATTCCAAACTTTTGTATTTAAATCATACCCATAAAGCAAGTTGGTGAAATTATAAGTATCAGTAATTGGATTTACCATAACTCCACCAAATAAAAATATTGTTGATTTATTTGGTCCACCAACTGCACTCAAAGACCAAGAAATTCCTATAGGTAATTTGTCATTTTCTACCCATGGTACATTTGCAACATCAAAATCTTTAGTTAAATCCACATAAAATAATGAATCTGTTGTAATAACTGCTTGTTCTAAGCTTACACCTCCAAGAATGTAAAGTTTATTATCTACTACCACGCTAGTAGCTGCGTAACGTTTTATCTTAGGATCAGAAAATACATTATTAATAATAAATATTATAATAAATATTAACTGAAATTTGTTATTTTTGAAATTTAAAACCATCGATTTTTTTTTTAATTTTTTTTAAGAAAAAAGTGTTTAAATTTTTTTTTTTAAAAAAAAAAACCTGTTTTAAATGTATCTAAAATTAAAAATGCAGGACACAACTTTTAGCCAAGTTTGGGTGGACAATGAATTTAAAGTCAGTGTTCAATCAATCCCTTAAACTATTTGGTATCTTCATACTTTTTAAAGATTTTACAAAAACATCAAATTTTTATTTACAAGTGTTTGTTACTCTCGGAATATGTAATTCAGCCTGTAGCATATTAATATGCCTTTTCTGGAAAAAACTGAAACTATTTATTATTATATCATTTATAGCAGCCGGATATAAACCGGATTTTAATTTATTGTGATTACTATATTTGGTAACAATCAATTTTATTAAATTACTATATATATAGATTTATTTGTATATATACAAAATATTTTGATGCGGCACATCACTAAAATTCAAATTCATTCTAATTAATTAACACAAGTAAGAAACGAAACGAAACATTTGCCATTTCACGACCACCTACCAAAAGCAGCAAGGCGAGTGATTTTCGTGCAGGTTACTCGCCGATTGTCTCCTTTTGCGTTTAGCCGCGCTTGGTTTTTTCGGCTTTTGGCGCGATCAACGTTTTCACCATATTTGGTGAAAATTGTGTCGTACGGCAAATGTTTCGTTTCTTAATAGATTCAATTGCAAGCGTCGCATGCAATGCTTTGCAAGGTGAGGAGAGGCATGATCGATGAACCAGCAAAATTCTATCTTTTTCAAAGCTAATTTTTTGGGAAAGAATTTTTTGTTTTCGTTGGGTGGTAAATTTCAAAAAAAAAAATTTTTTTATTTTTCTGAAATCGATCTACGTGATTCTTTATTCTTTATTCTTTCTTTGATGATCAATGTAAATACCTTTTTTTCACATGATGAACGTTTATCGTGCAATAATAATAGTTTTTTTTTCCAACCGAAGAACTGTCTGGTTAGAATAAAAAGTTTTATTTATTTTACATTTACAAAGAGCTATTTAATTTCAACAATTGAATTATTGTTTTTTGTTATTTTATTTTATCATATATGCTACTAAGAATAACTTTTTGGTGGTGGCGAAACATCTTTCTTTTTTCGTTTAATATTTAGTCAGTGTGATAAAGATCATACCATTGATTTATTAAAACATTCCTGTGCCATTGATTTTGTTTAAAGTGTTATGCGTTTAGTTCGTTACAATTTACGAATTATCATTTGTCCTGTTTTTTTTTTGGATCATACCATTGATTTAGAAAAGCATTATGCATTTAATTAATTATTTATTTATTTATTATGTTTATTACTAAACATGCTAAAAAACAATTTTTACTATTATTATCATTTGTCCTGTTGTTTTGGATCATTGGTTTGTTTACTTTTAAGAAAAGCATTATTATTATTAAAAATAAAGCATTGTGTGTTTAATTCAATCGACAATTGAGTTGATTATTTGTTTATTACTCAAAATGCTTTGATCATGTCTATATGCTCATTTTGCAAAGCTGGATTGCAAGCTTCGTAAATCTTGACTTTAACACTTACTTTGATCAAACCCGCTCATATAATTATTGAATAATTGATAAAACATCCGTTTTGCAAACTCAATTTTCAAGTTCATAGACCTTGACTTTAACACTTACTTCGATCAAACCCGCCTATATGATTATTGAATAATTGATAAAACGTTTATTTTAAAAAATTGATTTACGAACTTCTTGATCTTGTATTTAACACTTACTTTGATTGCACCAATACAGACTATTGAATAATTGACAAACGTTCTGTAATTTTTATTGTGTAATCCTGTGTAATTAAAAAAAAAAAAATTCAATAGAATAGAATTTGTCCAATGAAATGTTGTAAACTGTATATACCCCATGCACAACTTGATGCAAGGCTCATTTTTCCATTACTAGTACTCTCTTGGGGTAAGATATGCAATGGCAACCCATGTGACTCACTTAAATGTGTTATCAAAGTCCAGCAAGTGAGAGAATGGGACCCTTGCTGGTGGCTCATGCTGGGTGTATTGACCTTTCATGACATGACCTCTCTTTTGTCAATTGTTTATTTTACTTAAAATATTTAGAAGGAAACAAAAAAAGAGATAAAATTCGTTAATTGATTTGATTGGTTACATTTGTAATATATGAAGATCCATCAATTATGAGAAGGCATTATTATTATAGCAACAAGTAGCAAACAACAATGAATCATCATTTTTTGAGGATGATAATAAAAATTAAGATCCGATTTTGTTGCATGAAAATATTCAAGTTTTTCAAAAAAAAAAAATGGGGACGGCCGTCCTATTTATATGTCTTGGATTTAATAAATAGACTACTGTCTTGGCCCGAGTGATGTCATTTTTTTTGCTCTTTGCGGCAAAGAAGATGCAATCCCAAACCCGACTTAAAATAAATGATTTTTGTTCTCGCGTAGAATGGTGTGCATAATTTGTAACATGAAAAGCAAAAGCTCACATTGCGTTCTCAGTTGTGAGCTTGTAATTGTTAACAACAATGAATCATC